TTTTGGTTTTCTCGAGGTTTTGGCCAAACTGCAAAAAACAATGGAAAAACAAAAAAAAACAAAAAAACAAAAAAAAGCCAAAAAGTTCAGACCCATGTCCCCTGCCAGGCCTCTCCCCAGACCTTGCCCATGGGTCTGAACTTTTTCGTTTTTTTTGTTTTTTTGGTTTTCTCGAGGTTTTGGCCAAACTGCAAAAAACAATGGAAAAAACAAAAAAAACAAAAAAAACAAAAAGTTCAGACCCATGTCCCCTGCCAGGCCTCTCCCCAGACCTTGCCCATGGGTCTGAACTTTTTGTTTTTTTTTGTTTTTTTTTGTTTTCTCGAGGTTTTGGCCAAACTGCAAAAAACAATGGAAAAACAAAAAAACAAAAAAAAACAAAAAGTTCAGACCCATGTCCCCTGCCAGGCCTCTCCCCAGACCTTGCCCATGGGTCTGAACTTTTTGTTTTTTTTGTTTTTTTTGGTTTTCTCGAGGTTTTGGCCAAACTGCAAAAAACCATGGAAAAACCAAAAAAAACAAAAAAACAAAAAAAACAAAAAGTTCAGACCCATGTCCCCTGCCAGGCCTCTCCCCAGACCTTGCCCATGGGTCTGAACTTTTTGTTTTTTTTTGTTTTTTTTGTTTTCTCGAGGTTTTGGCCAAACTGCAAAAAACCATGGAAAAACCAAAAAAAAAAAAAGTTCAGACCCATGTCCCCTGCCAGGCCTCTCCCCAGACCTTGCCCATGGGTCTGAACTTTTGTTTTTTTTGTTTTTTTTGTTTTCTCGAGGTTTTGGCCAAACTGCAAAAAACAATGGAAAAAAAAAAAACAAAAAAAAAAAGTTCAGACCCATGTCCCCTGCCAGGCCTCTCCCCAGACCTTGCCCATGGGTACCTCTCAAAAAAATGCGCGTCTCTACAATTTGCACACTTGCGCTCCCCAGGCCAAACTGCAAAAAAACATGGAAAACCAAACTTCATTTAATGACTTATATCATGACTAATATAATGATTATATATATATAATGATTTATTTCAAAAATAATATCATGGTTCATAAAATGACTAATATAATGATCAATGTAATATCATTGTTATTAATAAAATGATTATTATAATGATTCATATAATTAATGATAAATATAATGATTTATGTAATGGCTGATATAATTTTGAATTTATTGACTAATATAATGATGAATAACATGATTCATAGAATGATGAAATTTTTTAAATGATTTTTTACTGACTTATATAATGACTAATATAATGATTAATATACTGATTAATATCATGATTAATATCATGATTCATATAATGATAAATATAATGATTTATCGAATGAGTCATTTAATGACTTATATAATGACTAATATAATGATTACTATAGTGATTAATGTGATGATTAATAAAATGATAAATTTCATGATTAAAATAGTTGTGATTTTGATGATTGATGTAATGATTAAATTAATGGTTTATATAATGATTTATATAATGATTAATTTAATGAATATATAAATGAAAACAACGCGTAATGTAATGATTAATTTTATGATAAATATAATGTTGAATATATAGTGATTAATGAAATGATTAAAATAATGACTATTATAATGATGAAAATAATAATTTTTATTATGATTAATTTAATGACTTAAATAATGGCTAATATCATGATAATATTTAAATAATAATTAATTGAATGATTAATGAAATGATTAATATGATGATTAATATAATATAATGATGATTTCAATGATTGATATAATGATTAATTTCATGGTTATTATCAGGATTAATTTAATGATTAATGTAACAATAAATAAAATGGCTAATATAATGGCTAATAAATTGATTATATATGTATTTTTCATGATTAATAACAT